ATAATGCGAGCCACTTCCATGGAGGTCTCTCATGATGAGTTAACTGTCCGGAGATAGAAGCACCAAAGAAGTTCCATAGATGTCATGTACAGTACAGATAAACACACTTTTTTTGCAGTGGATACTTTACCTGTTCCTCTTTTCTGCTTCTTCTACTTCTAGTTTAAGTTCATTTGAGTGCGCACTAGCGTTACTTGAAACTCTAAAAAGGAAGATTAATTGAGCTATGTCAGCTTCTGTTAGATTTTTGTTTGTTTGAATAATGTGACGATATATTCACCAAATGATTTTGTGGAGCTGCATTAATAAATATCTAGCATATCTTTTTCAGCCCAATTGTGTGGTAATTCTATCAATTTAGATAAGGAGACCAATGAAAGGTAGAATTGAAATCTCAGTATAGTCACCACGTGTCAGAAGTTAAATTAAAATTTATTTTAGCGTAGCAAATCACATACTTTCCAAGTGCATTATGATAAAATGTATCGTATTTGAATAAGTTTTCTATAAACACCAAGAAGAATGAGATATTTTTTTTCTTAGAAGTTAATATTACATTATTCATAAATTAAAATCAGGTTTTTTCTAAGAAATTGCAATTGTTTAATTTTTCTCAAAAGTTTATTTTAATTTGTGTAGCAAGTTTATTTGATTTTTATTTTATTTCTATAAATATTTGTGGAGAAGATTATTTAAACATGGTTTAAATTTTTTGTGTGACTAAATTATAGTAAACAGAACATATGCAAATTTGAAGTTCAAATTGAAAAGGAAAAAAACGTATTCAGACCTTTTAAACTTTACCACTTTTTGAAGATAATCACCTTAAACTTCAATTTTTTAGGTTTAAATATATTTTTAATCCTTAAGTATAAGATGAATTTATTTTTTATTTTTAAAATTTTAAAATTAGTTTTTTTTTAGTTTTACAATTTGAAATTCCTCATTTTAGTTTTACTCAAATATTAGTAAATCTGATAAATATTCTTACACAAAATTCACCTACTAATGTTATTATTAACAAAAAAATATTATATTAAATTGATATTACATAATTATTTTAATCTATCACAATCAATTATATTATGAATGGCTAAAAGAAATGAAATAATATTTATTAAAAATTACATGGATTAGAAAAATCAATTTTACATTTGAGAAATCAAAAATAAATTCACCTTAAATATGAGAGAACTAAAAGCATATCTAAACATAAAATTTACTATGACTACAAATTGACACAACAAACTTTAATTTTGTTTCAATTTATAAGCTTTATCATTTTGCAAATAAACACATTGATTTCTAATAATATACTAATCAATTTTTAAAGTTTACTTTTTTTTTATAAATAGTTCTTTCTATAAAGTTAAAATTAAATTAATTATCTAAAATATTAATTATTTATTTATTTTCTATTTTTGTTAAAATTACATTCTTCATTAATTAATTAAAATATATTAAAAATATGAATTTAGAAAAATTAATAAAAAACAATCAACAAGTCTTCAATTTATTTTTTAATTCTAAATTATTTTATGTTTTAATATTTGGAAAAGTTATCTATAAAAATAAAAGTAATTAATGACTAGGAGTCTAGGATCTAAAATAATAAATTATTGATATTTTTCCTTTATTAATAGCTTAATCCAAATTTGATATAAAAACTATTAATAAAAAGGGTAAATTTAATTTACAAAAAAATGGACAAATTTAAAAGAATATTTGAGAAGAAATTGAAATTAAGGCCTTTATTTGTAAGATTGGTAAAATTTAATGATTAATTAAAACAAAATAAAGTTTATGAAAATTATTTGTAAACAAAATTAAATTTAAGAATTAATTAGGATAAAATTATAGTTTGAGATGTCAGCCAGTAAAAAAAAAAAGAAGTAAAATTCAGAGGATTAATACTTTTCTTTTTCATTGAAAAAATTAGCAATAAGATGAAAAGGGTTTCATTTGGTTTGCTCTATAATGGTGTGTTTGGATGAGGAATTTATATAGGTTAATTCATTTATTTGAAGAATTTCAAATTCCTTTGAAATGTTTTGTTTGGATGAAGAATTTACAAAGAATTTGAAATCTAAGCATTTGTGAAATTCCTTCAAATAGTAGAATTTCAAATTCTCCCAAAAAAGTAAGAATTTGAAATTCCTCATATTTTTTTCCTTCATATTTCACTTATATATTTTATCTTATCTCATATCTCTTCATATTTTTAATTACTGAATATTTAAAAATATTTTTAAAATTATTAAATATTATCTAATATTAATTTTTAAATTTATTAAATATTTAAAAATTAGTTAATATTTAATTTTATAAAATTTAATTTAAGAATCTCAACATATAAATATATTTTTAAAATCAAATTTATCATGGTAGAATCAAATTATCATATTTAACCCATAAATTTAAAATTTGAGAAATTTGAATTGACTTATCCAAACAAAATATTTTAAGAATGATGGAAATTGAAATCAAAGTAATTCAAATACCAAGAATTTAAAATTCCTTGAATTTGTAAAATTCTTCATCCAAACACACCCTCATATTTGTTTTTCTTATTTTACCTATATATTTTATCTTATCTCTTCATTCTTTTAATTATTGGATATTCAAAAATATTTTTAAAATTATTAAATATTATCTTACATTAATTTTTAAAATTATTAAATATTATCTAATATTAATTTTTAAAATTATTAAATATTTAAAAATAGATTAATATTTATTTATAAAATTTAATTTAAAAATCTCAACATATTTATATATTTTTAAAATCAATTTTACTATGATGGAATCAAATTATCATATTCAACCTAACAATTTAAAATTTAAGAAATTTGAATTGACTCATCCAAACAAAATATTTAAAGAATGATAGAAATTGAAATCAAAGTAATTCAAATACCAAAAATTTAAAATTTCTTGAATTTGTAAAATTCCTCATCTAAATACACTATAACTGTTTGACAAAAAATTACGCCAGTTCTAGCTTGGTCAACTCCTCCATCCTTATTATATAGTCTTGGCTTAAGTATCAGAGTTGTTTCTGTTCATTAAAACATATGTTGCATTTTTTAGTAATTGCTTTGGAGGAATTAAAAAAAAAAAAAAAAAGACAAAAGACAAAACCTTAGCATCAACTCTACGTTATGCTAAAAATTGGAAAATAATTCAATATTTGTTAATTCTTTTTTCCCTCTTTGTTTTCCTAGCTAAATCCTATGAAAATAAAAAATTTGATGTAGAACATGAATTATTAAATAGAGTAAATCTAAATAGACTTATTCCTAGAATAAAAAGATCTCTCTTCATATTATTGAATGGAGTAATCTAAGTAGACCTTTTCATAAATAACTTGTAATTACATACGAAAGCTAATCTCTAAACTAAAATCGACTATCTTTTTTTTTTTTGTTATGAAAGAAAAACAAAGTTTTACTCTTTCAACACAAAAAAAAGTAATAAAGACAAGGAAACCATGGCAAATATTTCCAGGATACACGGTATAGTATTAAGATTAATAACTATGAATAAATAATATATTATTTTACCGTATTTTTTCACACTATAATTTAATTATAAATTATAGTATATAATAAGTTTAATTACTTTACGTTGTGTCAAATAAGTTTATAAATTTTTTTTTTACTTTATTCCGTAAAAAAAGTTTAATTACTTTATAATAATAATTACATTAAAAATTATACAAAAATATACCCTCTATCCTTTAACTAGTATCGTCTTATGATTTTTTTTCACATACTAAAAAATGCTAATATAGAGATGAAAAAATGATTTTTATAAAATTAACTTTATTAATAATTTTCTTTTGATGAAAACGTTACAACACAATAATTTTCTAAAAAATATTAAAAAGATAAATAAAAATAATTAATTAATACTAAATAAAAAAATGAAATGATACTTATTTTAGGATTTTTTTTGGGTACATGACACACATGATGATATGAAAAGAGTACTTAATTAAGAATTTAGTTGTTAGGATTTGTGAGTATAATTTTCTTTTTGTTTTTAAAGATTACTTATTGTATAAATTAACAATTTGACTAAATTTAAATAGTTTTTGACTCATAATTGATAGATATATTATGAAAGTATTCTTATAAAAAATAATATTATTACTCATAGATTGGTCAGATGAAAAGTTGGACTTAATTCAATATTTATTAAATAAAGGAGTATTTTAAATTTTATTTTACATGAAATTGATTTAAATTTTATATAATTTTCTTTATTTATCACTGTTCTTCAATATACCAAAATAAATAATAAATTTTAATATAATAAATGCAAATATATATAAACAACGTAACATTCAATATCAATAACATACTTTCACAAATAACTTGTAATAAAAATAAAATCCATCTATTTATGAACCGCATCCTTGCCGTGAACTAGATGGTAAGTTAAGGTTTTTTTTTTTTTTTTTTTTTTTTTTCTTTATAATAGAGATGAGTAATTTCTTTTTTTTTTCTTATTTAATTGATCTTTATAAATATAAAATAGTACTTCCAATCACAATTGAAAATCAAATATTAATTATTAATTAAAAAAATATAAATATCAAATTATTTATACTAACGATTAATATCAAACTAAAAAGATAAATGACAGTATAAGCTTGAGTTAAACAAAAACAACAAATAAAATTAGTTAACTTGGTGATCCTAATAATTCTAGAAATTTTACTTTTTAATCTTTAAAATAAAAATGTTTGTAAGTTTCTATATTGTATATCTGTCAATCTCTGTCGTTTATTTTTATAAAAATTAAGAGATAAAATCTATACAAAATTACAAGAAAATAAGATAATGAATATAAAAATAAAAATAAACAATTTTTGATTATAGAAATTAAAATTTAAAGTTGATAATACAATATAGATAAAAAAAAAAGGTAATTAAAGGTATAAAATATTTAGGCGAACGTTAATCCTGTCCGAGCATCTTTGTCTTCTCATATATCTGTTGTGTCATTCTTCCACTCTTCATTTTCATAATAATGCATTGCATACATAACACAACACACAAACCAAACCAACCCATTCTCCATTCTCACTTCTCAAATCCAAACCTCTCTGCAAACTCAATTCCACCCTCTCATTCCTTCTTCATCAACCCCACAGACTCCCACAACAGAACCAAAAAACAACAACCTTAAAACTTCCAACACACAATAAAAGACTCAACGAAGAATCAAAAGCTTCACTCTCTCTTTTGTTCCTTTTCCCGTAGTGTGATCATCGTTTCACCGATGGCCACGGGACCCGAAAGATCGAAGGCACTGCACAACTTCTCCTTGCCCTGTTTGAAATGGGGCACGCAACGGTTACTTCGCTGCGTCAACGTCGACCTCGATCGCCGGTCCCCCACGCCCCAAAACGACGCCGTTAGAGTCCCCAAGCGCAAAAGCGACGACGCAGAGGAAGCTGGTGCCATGATGCCTTGGAATTTGAGGACCAGACGAGCTGCGTGCAAGGCGCCGCCGCACGACGAGGACCGGAGGTTCTCCGAAATGGGGTGTTCGCCGTCGCCGGTGAAGAAGGTGGTGGTGGGGAATGAGAGAGTCAAGTTTTCCGTTTCTCTCTCTAAGGAGGAGGTGGAGCAGGATTTCTGGGCCTTGGTCGGAACTAGGCCCCCCAGGAGGCCCAGGAAGAGGCCCAGGATTGTTCAGAGGCAGTTGAATGTGAGTTCAAGTTACTAACTCTTTATGAAATGGAATCTGTTTTTGCTTCTCATGGTTTGTGGTTTAGTTTAATTGTCTTGCATTTCCAGTAAAGTTTTATGTTGCTGTTAACCAATCAAAAATCGTTCTTGAGGTGACTAACTTTTAAGGTTTTTAGGTAGTTGCCACTAGAGTTAACAAATTTATCATACATGAGAATCTGGGTGATTGCATAATACTATAAAAATCTAACTTTATCACAATCTGGGTAATTGGATATTAGTTTAAAAAATCTAACTTTATGAAATGGAATCTTGTTTTAGGTTCTCATGGTTTGTGTGTTTTTTTAGTTTGATTGTCCTGCATTTTCAGTTTAAAATGTTTTATGCTGCTGTTAACCAGTCAAAAGTCATTCTTGAGATGACTAACTTTTGAGGTTTTAAGGTAGTTGCTATGAAAGTTAAGAAATTTACCATACATGACAATCTAGATAATTGGAGAATAGTATAAAAAATCTAACTTTATGAAATGGAGTTTTGTTTTAGGTTCTCATTGTTTGCCTTTTTTTAGTTTAATTTTTGTGCATATCAAGTGTAGAAGTTTTATACTGCTGTTAATCAAACAGAAATCATTCTTGACTTTTAAGGTAGTTACTATAAAACAACAAACTTGTAGCAATTTGTGTGATTTGATAATAGTACAAAGAGTTTAACTGAGTCAGAAACCGTGAGAGGCGAGCGAGAATGAAGGGTTAGGTGCAAACCGAAAGGCATGAGATGCCTTATATGCAGGTTGAATGCGTGGGAAAAGTTGTTGACACATGGCAAGACAGTTAGGGTGCACGCAGGATACATGACTGGGCCGAAGTTGGTTTGGGATTCTTGGCAGGATGCATTCAGTCACAAGGTTGGCCAAAGACGACAGCCCCTAGGGTCGGCCTTGCTTCACTGTCACTCCTGGATCCAAGACTTGAGCTGAATGTTTCCCAATTATGAAATGCGATGTCACGAATCTGCCCTCCATGACTTGTGAAAGGTGGTGGTGTGGCGGAAGCTGGCAGCTTGGAAGGTTGGAAGCCGGTTCATAACACTTACCATACATGTCAATATGTGATTCATTGATAATTTAGAAAAGTTGACTTTTAAGGAATTTACTAGTTATTATAAAAGTCGACAAACTTATTATATATGACAATATATGAGTGGATGACAATGTAGAAAAATTTTATATTGTCAGTATATGTCAATTGTTTTTAGTTTTATTTTGTTTTCAGTGTTGTGATTTTGCACTTCTTATGCTGTCTTTGTGGTTCAAATCATTGCAGACACTTTTTCCTGGCTTATGGCTGGCTGAGGTCACAGCAGAGTCATACAAAGTGGCTGAGGTTCCTGAATGAGGTGAAGTTTGGTGATTGCAGCTGTGTATTTCAATTTGGTATCTAACCAGTAACTAGAATTCATGAGTGGTTAATGGTTATGCTGTGCAGGGACTGAAATGAATGGCAAAACCAAGTTTTGAATGGATGTACCAAATATTTTTGCTTGCTGACTTCCCATGTGTTGTGACATAAATAATGGTAAATTCCAAATCATCCGTGTAAATCAAAGTTATAATTCAATGATAATGAAAATTTTGGAATTTTGCAATTTGGTTGTAGTACTTGTCTGAATGTTGTAGATTGCAGATTCTATAAATAAACTTTTTTTGCATTTCTTTGAAGATCATTTATTCACCATTAAATTGTTAGAATCCTCTAGATATAACAGTTTTTAACTTCTCAATTGTTTATTTAATCCATTAGTACTCACCGAGATAGTGAACAGTCATTTTTGTGTATTGTAGTAAAGCTTCTGGTGTACAGAACAAATTTGTTATTCTCTTCCGCAGAATCTCATGTAGTGTTGGTGATAAACTTTATTGAGCTTGTTCTTTCTGTATGCACCACGTGAATCTGCTTCATGAAGCTAACATCTCCAATACTAGAATTCATTTAATCTTCTATTAATATGGTATTATTGGAAGTTGGATGTGGTACTGGTTTTAAAAGGCATAATGATAGAGAAAATTTGGCATACAGAGATTTCCTTAGCATGCATCAGTGACTTGCTGCTAAAAAAAATATGCGCATTAATTCAGTGGCATGACTTTCTGTTGAAAGGAGCACATTGAAAGGTAATCCTCTTTCCTTTATATTTGAAGAAATAAAGGGGGAAAACAATGCTTTGGTTGACTTCATCGGTTACAATAAATGGCAAGTGAAAGATTTATAATGTATTACACAAAAAATGTCCATTTCTGTCACTAAATTTTGCATTCTCTCCACAACCTAGCAGCTAGCACACTAGTCTGTGGCTATATGAATGAGAATGAGAATTTAGTTGTAATAGTATTAGTAACATGTGTCCGTGTTGAAATTTTCACAAGCTGTTTTGCTGATGAAAATAGTTTCAAATTTTGTTCAAAATAATATGTGCTGTGATTGTGTTTCCATTCATAAACTTGCTGCAGTGACTTAAAACCTGATTGAATTGGCGTAAAACCATCTGTATTTTCTGCTATTTTTACGAGAGAACAGAAGAAAAGCATATTTGGATTTGTCTTTGGGATATCCATTAGTGTTGATTACTTGATTGTATGATTCATGAGAACTTATAGCAAATTTCCACGGCTAACATTTTTCTTAATCGCATTTGATATGTATGATGGATGGTTAATCCTGAAACAAAATTACATCAATGGATTTTTCTTTCCATAAAGAGGAAATTATCATTGGTTTCCTACTCAGTGTTACCCTCCTAGGTATGAGTTCATTTCAGGTGAGATAATAATGCCTATTGCATTTACACTTGCATCTATTGCTGTAATAATTCTTGTATTCCGCTAACAATGGTATGTTGATCTATGTACATAAATAGATGATGTGATAAAGAAGTAGAGGTGTGAACTTGTTGGGTGAATATATGATAGTGACTTTAGACATGTAGGCGATTCCAGCAAACACTTACATAACCTTTTACACTCTCACTTTATAGCAATTCAAGTACTTGCTAGTAATCAGAGTTCCTGTGTAGCAATCTTTCATCCCAATAGAACTCTTGTACCCTATACTGCAATGGTAAATATCAGCAAGTATTGGATTGTCCTAGTTGGCATTGAACTTGCCAAATTGAGTTGTTGAGAAATAATTGAGATTGTGGCGGTCCAAATAAGGCAGCATCTGACAGGTCTTATATTCAATTAGCAATAATGAGTATTGAACAATTTTTTTTTTTTCTTTTGTACATCCAATTCTCTGTATAGGGAATGATTCCTTTGTAGGACCACTGACATGTCAACTCTATATTATATCAGTATTGGAATAAAATTAAATAAAAGTTGTGTGAAACAAAAAAGATGAGCAAATATCTGATCTTAAACCAATTGGGCCATGGATAAACTGAAAAGTAAATATTGGTTATGAACTTAAAATATCTCGAGGATTCTACCACTATGAGCATACAAAACTAGTCTTAAGCAAAAGATAACAGTTAGTTCAACATACTTATTTTTCGTCTATTGCATATTTTTTAGAGGCTACATTCCATTTACAGGAAAATTGGAATGATGAGAATGAAGTACTGCTTGGTTTAGTTACGAAAGTATAATTAATTGGAAAGGTACTTGCTCTAATTTTCACAAAAAAAAAAGACTAATTCAATCATGCAGTATTAGGGTTCTTTTTTTCTTTCCATTCGTTGCCTAATTCAACCCAAGAAGCCCATTTGTTACAACGGGTTTCTTGATTTACGGCCTAATCTTTATTGGATGAGTTAATTTGGAAAAAAAAAACAAAGTGTGATGCACTGTATGTATCTGGAGAAATAGATAGAGGTTACCAATTTTTAGTTAAGAGCAATCTGAAGAACGTTTGTTATCATTATTTATCTATTTAACTTCGACTCTTAAGTGATTTTTCCTAAATTAATTATGGTTAATTGGAATCAATGCAAATTCTGAATATCGAAATTTTTAGAACAAAATATTGATATTTTTATGAGCAATATATATATATATATTTATATATTTATATTTGTGATATAATCAAGATATATAATCCTCTCCTTTTGGATTGGTCTATTTTAAGGATAAAATGGTATCTTCATTTGTGACTATATCTAAATAAAAATTGAATTTTAGTTTTTAGTTAAAAAATACAAATATCAAACCACTTATATTAATAATTTTTAGTATTTATTTATAATATATAAATTTTGAGCTAAAAACATTAGGCACATCACTTTTTATTGATTTTCCGCGACAATTCCTCACCTCTTCTCTCATTGGCCCTTACTTTTATTTCTTAACGTTGGTAACTATCATCTTCGTTATTATTGTATTATTCTCATTATTCTTTACAAAATGAAGTTGACATTTGAAGTCCACTAGCTTCGTGTCAAAGACCCCATTCAGTTGTTAAATACTTGCATTTTTTTATGAGTTTCAAAGGAAATAAATAATTACAATTAAAATGGATACATGACGTTTTGTCATCTTCAATATCATTAAAAATTATTATATATTTTTTTTACACAAGTATTGTTTATTGAAGACAATTTTAATCAAGCCGATCATTAAAAAAAAAAAAAACTCTCCAAATATTTAACACAATATTTTAATAAAAAAAAAGGCCATGATGAAGTGCCTAATAAAAAAAATTTAAAATAGTAAAAATCCATCCATATGAATCAAAATTTCGCTACATTCTTTTCATATAAATTGAGACAAAAAATGACACGAGTAATGTTTAGAGAAAAAAAATAAAAAGAAAATACGAAAGAATATAGAGATTTCATATTATAGAAAGTTACTTAAATCTATATTTTTATTTTTAATACTAAATTCCACCGGAAGGCACGGGTCAGCTACTCATTATTAATTTTCAGAGTTAAAACGTCAACCTCTACCCAATTATAAGATTGATAGTTGACTGAGGATTTGTGTGCATTCCTCTCATTTTCCCTTGCTCACAATTTGATTAATTAACTTTTTCCAATCACAAACTGAAAATTCATTCTGGCTTCGAAGGACATTGATTATTCACTATTCTAATAATTCACTTTGTTTAGAACTATTTAATATAATCATGAATGCCACGATCCGTTGACTTCAATTCCTTCACAAATGTACCCCCAAAAAGAATTCATTAAAAAGTCCAACTTGATCAATGTTGGTAATTATTGCAGCCGCACGTTATGGAAAGAAAAAAAAAAAAGAATTAAACGAAAAGAAATTTCTTGACTTGTAAAAGTAAATATGCATGATTTCTAAAGCGGTGGGTAAACCACCAGGGAATTATGAAAGTGCATCAGTGAAATCAATACTTGATTTTATTTTAAGCTCTATTGTGACTACATGCAACAAGATAAAAAAAATATTTCATTGAACTAATAATTTACTGTTTAAATGGTATTAAAATTGATCTCTTTAAATAAATTTTCAAGTTTGAATCTTGAATTATAAAAAAAAATAATTAGAAAAAGGGATTGGACTAAAGATTACCGTTTAGTTTTTTAAGTGATATTAATCATCAATAAAACAATAATGTAGATAAATATTTTGTGTCAATAACATAATTAATAAGAAAATAATAATTAGAAGTTCAACTAAATCAGAAACTAATAAAACCTCTCCTAATGAAAACTAAGCATTTATGTACACCAATTCTGATTTGTGCAATACATAACACATGAAACAAGGATGGATCAGTTTATTTCTACGTGAAATGCATCAACTCAAAGACTACTTGTGACTTGTTAGATAAACCAAAGGATGGTCCATGATTAGGTGAATTAAGTAAGGGAAAAGCTAATTCACATACCAAATTTTCCACAAGGTTTCATCAATGATTTGTTTGTTTACCCATGAAACTTCCACCTTATTATTTGTTATATTTTTTTCAATTAGTTAAATAGATGGGGAATTACTCAAACAAAATCCAATTCTTTATCTAAATAAGCACCAAAAAGCACAAGATTCCATATTTAGGAATTGGGAGGAATCACAGAAGAAAACAAAATGGGACAAAACACTAAAGATGGATTCCCGTTATTCTGTCTCCCAAGCCGGGGACCCTTTTATCTGCATGGCCATGGCATTCAGAAGATCCATAATCTGTTACAATATTCTTTTAATTTCTAATACTAATAATATCATTGTTTATCTTCATGTAGTTTAATCAACTTCATTTATTAGCATGCTAATTAGTACTACTAATTACTAATTAGCATTTACTAATTCTTACAAAAGATGATTGTGATAATAAATTAATAATAAATTAAACCAAGATGAATTCATGATACGCGATGATGATGATATAGTATATGATGAACAAATCACTTCTTGCTCTTCTTAACCTTCCCAACACGTAAAAATGAACCCAAACCAAAGAGATTTGCACCTCCCTTTGAAGCACAAGGAGTTGGTACGTTTAAAATAGGATTAATCCTAAGGCCATTGGGGTAATAAGACCCTCCATAACTCTTACCTGAGGGAGATTTTTGCACAGGATACATATTTAAGGTGGAAGATGATGATTTAGCAATTGATGGATGCTTGTTTGAATTTGAACTCACTCTCTTTGGATTTGACACTGAACCTGTTGAGTTGCTTCTTGACAAAAGAGGAAAGGAGCATACCAAGTTCTTCTTTGTATCACAATTGAGACTTTTGCTTCTATTGAATCCCCAAAAAGACTTGCAATGAGGCTTCTTCTCATGATCAGAATTCACATCTAGGAGCTCTCTAATGGTTTCTTTCTTCACTTTTTCAACACTTGAGGCACATGGACGAGGTGGGAGTTTTGTGTGATGAGGTTCCACTTGATGAGTGAGTTTTCTAGCTTTGGTTTTGTCTTGTATCTGAATTGGAAGGATCACACCATTGGAGAAAAGTTCATCTGCTGAAGATGATTCAAACTCAAGGCTGGTGCTTGTGCTGAACTCAAAGTCAGAATTTGAGTCATGCAACAATGTGTCTATGGAAGGAACATCTTGTTTCATTGGTAGAACTTGTAGCTCTGAGAGATCATGGGAGAAAGAGAGACGTGGGGGACTTGTTTCTGAGCACATAACCATAAAGATGAGAACAAAAGTGGGAAAATGAAGAATTCAAAGGTGAACAGAAAAATAGTATGGTTTTAAGGATTGGACATATGAGGTTGCTTTTGGTTCCAAAGTTTAGAAGACAAAGGAGCAGAAAGAACTCTTTTCATAGTCTTTCAGATATAGAGGGATAAAAAAGAAGAGGGTGTATCAACATTTATTCAAGTTTCAAGGAGTAGAGATTCTGTGAAAATTGTAAGATCAAAGGAGATTTAATGTTCTTTTAAAAAGAAATAGATAGGATTTTGTCTATTACTGTTGGAGAGTAGATGCAAAGGAGCAACACAAAGCAATTAAAATTGTAAAATATTTTGTACCCTATGAAATCAGTAAAAGTGATGCTTGATTAGAGGAAAGTGACTCCAATCACAATCTAATTCAGCTGATTTGAAGGAATAATGTTTGGAGTCATTGTCTATAAAACAGCCAACCTTCAAGACTTGTTCTATAAGATATAGACTTTGGGGTTCTCATCCTAATTCCTAACCACTAATTAGCCTTTTGTTTATTTCCCCTATCATATCATGTATCATATGTAAGATAGAGGGACATTGTCTCATCTCTAATCTCTAATTAATTTAAACAATTATAATAACAAAAATCAACTAGATGGTTAGGTACTGCCAAATACACATTTCAAGATTATATTGATCTTTCATCATATTTTCTAATGCATCCGGATATGATTTCTTAAACACATGTTGCTATAAGAATGTACTCCTTTGCCCAAGACCATCCTCAAATGAAATGGGTGGTTCGTAAATGAATTTCTTTTTTATTCCTCGATAATGTGTAAATATATATTAATAAAATTTACATTAAATACAAATATATATTATTAAAATAAATCTTTAATTTTAATTAAAAATAAAATTAATACATTTAAATAACTATGCTTAAGTCATGATCTTAAAATTATATAGTATGCTTGATTCCTAGTTTGTTACAATTATAATTATCGACATTGATCAATCAATTAGAATCCTGGAAATCAAGTGTCTCAAGCATGATCCAGTAAAACTATGAACATGCATATCTAATTGAGTTCTTTTTATTAATTCAGTTTCTTTTCATCATATTTCTATCTCATTTTTTTTTACTTAACTCTCTTTATTTCACATCACATCATTTATCAAATTTATAACTATTTTTTTTCATATTTTATTTTGTCCTTTTTTTTAATCTTTTTCTTCTATCTATTTATACAATCCCAAATATGAGGTGTACGTTCACCATTTTTCTATCCAATAATGTTTGACACACATCCCTTAATAAGGCAAGAAATGAGTACAAGGAAAAGAAAAAAGAGAGAGAGAAAATAAGAAATATGATTAATGATGTGATTAAAAAGAAAAGAAAAAATAAGAGACAAATGAAAGATGGGTTGTAAAAAGTATGTGAGAAAAAGTGAACATGATCGAGAAATTCAAACTCTGATGTTTGTTTAAATTTAAAAATAAATATTTTTTAACTTTTTAAGAAACAGATAAGAGTTACTTCTTTAAAAAGTAGAAATTAAAATTGTTTTTTATTTATAAAAAAATAGACAAACACATCAAAAAAAAATAAAAAATATTTATTTTATTAAAAAGAAACGAAACAGACCCTTACATATTATCATCAGTTTTAAGCAACAATTATAATCCTCAGTATCTTTCAAAGTTTAAAAAAAATCTGCTTAATTTTTTGAAACAAGATCAAATTAGAGTTCCAAGGAAACAAATAAATAAATGAACTTCCCTTTGTTCAAAAACCTTGAAAGTTAGATCTTCCATTACTAGGAAACAGATAACAGATGCAATGTAAGAATTTCCCATCTGCCAACCAAATCTGTAATATTCATTAAATAGTACTCGAGGGTTAGTGGTGCAAAAAACTTACCATTAACCACTCTTCGTCTTCATTAGGTACGATTCTTTCTGTATTTACAAATTTCACATGATGATGAAGTTGTCAAGGATCAACTATGCTAAAAGTATCACTCAATACCTTACAGCACCATGCCTAGTGTTAGCGCCACCTAACTACAAAACTTGAATTAATAAGCATAGGACCCGCGAAAAATTAAAATGCATCTACAATCCTCCTATATTCTGAAAATGTCACATTGACGTATACTTTGACAATTGACACCACAATAATGAATGAATATTAAAGAGTAAGCTTACGTGACATGCTATCTATCCCCTTTTACTTGGTCTCACAAATGAATCATAGTCTCTCTCTTTTTAGCCTAAAGATTAAAATGGCAGCACCTTACAATTATGTGATACTTGGAAATATCGAAACCTCCCTCCCATCAATGACTAGCAAAATATGGATTTAATGTTCATGTACTTTTAGCGTAAAACAGTTTTACGAGGCTGATAAACAGAAATTATTATTGATATGATTTTTAAAATTACTGTAAAAATCAACAAATTTATTATGTACACAACGATGTGTGATTAGATGGGAATTATTTGTTCTACACTCGGTACATTTCTCTTAAATATTATGTGCAAGATAAATTAAGAAGGGTCAAAAGAAAAGTAGGTTACATAGTACCTTGATGGGCTCTATATAAGTATAGCATGGGATGTGGGGGTCACAATGGAGGATGGACCCAAGTCCCAAGAGATAACTACTATTTTCTTTTCTTCACCAAGACAAACAATCCATTGTTGTCAACTTGCCATGTGAGCAATCTCCCAATTTGGAAGAGTGAATAAGCTCATAACCATGATGACAAAACAGTCCTTAACCCCCTATTTGGGATGCTCAGTTCTTGCCACAACATGGGACCCTACCCAACCACTATGTGAACGACCCCTCGAAGCATCTCTCGACCCAGAATTGGCATCACCAGAAACAATTGTTCATTTGGTGCAAGAAAAGATGTAATGAATGTGACCAAAACTATAGTATGCACTAGAGATGATGCCATGCATTTAGAGTGAGACCTATCTCGTCATATAGTTGATAAACCATATAGGGACTTGGCTGTGATTGCTTTGGTGGACCCAAAGTCACAAACATAAGAAAATATATCATGGATACGGCAAATAGATCATTCGCATAGAATAATAGTTCAATTATCTATGTGGTGCATGTGCACGTTAAGATGCTTTGTTATATGTAAAAAAAACAATTAGTTATCAACGGCACAAAAAGTTGATAGGATTATATTACATTATTTATCTGAGAGGATATATTTATATAGAGGATATAGAGGAGATTGTTACATTTTGTTATTTTTATTGGATTATTTGGTTATTTGCATACACGTACATTTTTATAATGATAAGATTTTCCCCTAAAAAAAAAAGATATTATTTGTTTGGGATCTAAATTCTCATGATTTTATTTTTTATTATTACTCAAAAGATCTTTCAATCAATGGAGTATGTGTATAGTTTATAAACTCTTATTTTTCTTCTTTATTTTATCGATATGAAATCTTGTTTGATAAAAGCAAGGTATAGAGACACACTATTTTATCAATTCGATGAAAATTAAAATTTGTGACAAAAAATTGAATATCTCCAAAACTAAAACTATTGTAGGCATAATTGAAAACAATACAACCCAACCTGCTAATTCTATCTTGCTCTCATACCAAATATGGTCATAGTAGTCCCAAACCACAAGGAAAAATATGTAAGGGTAAGCTTATCAAACAAAAACAACGTCATACCAATAGTAGTCAACATAAACAACTTAAATGATGTCCTGTAATGCACCCAATAACAATTCTACAACACAACTTAAAGCACTCAAACAACTCATACAAATTAGAAACTTCATTATAGATACCATATAACACAATCATCAAATAACATCACATTCATAGCTTTCACCAAATAACAGCTTGTACATCTTTACAGTTTCAACTTAACCACTTTCAATATGCACATATACATATCACCAAACAACATGAACATCTGTGTCATCAACATATCACAAATAACATAGAACAATACAAACACTCATTCGGTTATCATTCACCTCAACGCCTTAAAAAAAACAACATAAATCACACACACACACACCTATATATATATATATATATATATATACACACACACACACAATTGATGTGTCGCCACATATATCAATTGTAGAGTTCTCTTACAATTGAAGTGAGCAATATAAGTGATTTGATTCAATCGAATCATATCAACTAGTATAATACTGAAAAACAATGGTTGACATTAAGGTCAAAAACAACGGTTGACACTATGGCCAGAAATAGTATTTAACATTATGACCAAAAATAGCGACTTACACTATGGTCAAAAATAACGGCTAGTATAAAGCTAGAAACAATGTACAATTTAACATCTTAATTATCTTTCAACTTACAACTTAACAGTTTCACATCTTTACAAATTAAACATCTTTCATTTTACAACTAAACATCATCATAACTTATCTTAAAATAAATCAACTTACATCACACAACTTAATACACCTTTAAGCATTTATCAACTTACAACTATAACATCAACATACTATTTTACATCCTATACTTCATCACATACAACATCAACTTACCAACTTCATGGGTGTCAACATATCATCTCATCATATAGCTTAGACTTAACATGTTCAACCTTAGCACCTTACAATTCATACAACTTACACGTCAACCAACTCACACCATTCAACTTTATATCCTCATTCAACTATACAGTTCATATATCCTCATTCAACTATAAGACAACTTAAAACATCCTACAACATGTATCACATACAACTTATTAGCTTTCAAGATATAGATTTAATTATCATTTGACATCATTCATACAACTTATTTGTCATCACTTAGCCATAAAACAACTCAAATAACAATTGTTCATCATGTAAATCACTACAAGAAAAATTAACATTATCTATGGAAGAAATTCGTAGATAAGTATGAAAATCCGTAGGAAAGTGTTACGGATTATCTATGGAAAAAAATCTGTAGGTAATAAGGTCGTAGATAACGTTACCTACGAAAATTTTTTCGTAGGTAACGTTACTTATAGAAAATTTTTCGTAGATAATTCGCGAAAGTTGTTATCTACGGATTTTTTTCCGTAAATAACGTTATCTATGGAAATTTTTTCGTAAATAACCCACGATAGTTATTATCTATGGATTTTATCCGCATATAACCTTTGAAAATTTTTTGTTTAATTTTAATAAATTTATTAATGTAACAACCCTCATATTTGGCCTCTCAAGGATATTATTTCATGACACTTCACTTTTTAACGTATTTTGTCCTTACTGCACATTTTTTGGGAAACTTCCCAAAATGTCACCCATCCCTATATTACTCCAAGTCAAGCACACTTAACTATGGAGTTCTGATAAGATAAGTAGCTTGGAGAAAAAGGAGAAAA